GCTTTTATTCTTTGTTCCGCAAAGTGCGCTCTTTTAGTTTGTAGTGATGTGACAACATATATATATATAAACAGTTTGTCACAGCCCCTCGTTTGTTGTCCTCTTCTCTCTCTCTGCCTACGGTTTACCGGGCAGTTCTGTTTGTGACGATATATATATTATTTTTTTTTGACGTTTTTTGGCCCGCCCGGTCTACCTGGGCGGCCCCCTCGGGCTCAACCGGCCGGGCGACGTCCTCACTCAACTGTATTCTTATTTCTTTCAGTGTTTTACAAAAAAAAAATACACTGAACAAGGGATAAGAATAAAAACAAAGACACATTGAAATCATTCAATTTCTCAGTCTTCTTAACACCTCCTCCACCATGCCTCTAACGTACAAAGCTCGCCACATTGATGAAGTTGAGCGCGTGCTGGCCCCATCCCTATATGCCATAACAGCCCACTTGCACGCTATGGGAAAGAGGCATAGTGAAGGAAGAGGTGTTAAACGCAAGGAAGAGTGGAGCAGAAAAGGAAAATTGATAAGCAGAGGCAGAAAAACAATAAAAAAATAATAAAACAATTGACACAAATATCTTCTTTCTTTTACTGCATTCTTCTTTCTTTCACAGTTTTGCAGTTTTGGTGAAGAGTCTACCGCGTTCGGTTTTCAGCGCACCTGCACTTCTTCGTTTTTCATTTTCATTTTCACCCTTCAGACTTTTCCTTTGAGGGTGTTAGGGTGCAAGGTACGAACAAAGTAAAATGACACAAACTTATGTTCTTCTTTTACTGCATTCACTGTTTTGCAGTTTTAGTGAAGGGTTTCCCACCTTTGCACATTCTTGTACAATCTTTTCAGCGCACCTGCACATTTTTGTCAGGGTGCAAGGTACGTCTAAGCAAGACCCTCCTGACAGAAAGGACAACTGTCATAAGGATGAGGGCGATGGTAGCAGCCCTCCCGCTGATCTACAGGACGAAAACCATTCAGGTAAGCAACTTCGTCACAGGAGGAGCCAAGGCGGCTAGCACTAACCATACCTCTGAAGCATGCACGACAGAGGGCATGCCGGTTGCAGGCCATGTCGATTGTGGGGCGTTCACCATCACAGTTATGTGCACATTTGCTATAGCACCCGCAGACACAAATGGGACATACTGCATTTGGATGTAGAGGATGTTCACAATCCGGATACAGGTGGCATCCCTGCCGACAGCGGGCCCAAAAAATTATACGGTTGTAGTGATGTCGACGAAGTTGATGCTATCCACAACCAAGTGTAACTGTGTTAGTGATCTCGCGAAGAAGGAGGTCACAAGGTGTTAGTGCAACATGTGGGGGAATGAAGACTAAAGTAGCACGGTGACAAACATGGAGGTAGGCACGGAGACAGACTCAGAAATAGGCACGGAGGCAGGCATAGAGACAGGTGCATAGGTGGGGACGGAAGTACATGAGGTACCCATAGGGTCAGTAATCTGGAAGGAGACAAACACAGTAACAGGCACAGAGACAGGTACGGAGGTAGGCACAGAGATAGGCAAAGAGGCGGGCATGGAAGCACAGAGGTACCCATAGGGTCAATGACCTGGAACAGTTGCAGGTTAGGGTAATTACGCACGAGAACACACATGGCAGTAATAGTTTGCACCATAGCACCGCCATTCCATACCAGAGGCTTGGACAAGAGCGGTGTAGTGGCCAGGAGCATGTAGAATATAGGCACAAACGTACGAACAGTGGTCCAGGTCGCCACCCGAAGGGGCACGCTGCATATCAAGCCAGCGCCTTATCAAAGCAGTTTCCAAAACAGATACATTGAATCCCCCATGTGGAGTGTAATTACTATCTTGCGGGGGATGCAAAGTCAGGTTATTGCCATATAACTCACGTTCTTGAGCATCAAGATCGGAAGCAATKGCCAAGAAATCAGAGTGAGTATATGGTTCCCGACGATAGGCTTGTAAGCAGATGTTAGTAGCAGCGAGGCCACACAAATTTGGTGGAGGCCGGTCAGGCGGATTTTCTACAGAATCTCCTACAGTCCCCTTGCCAAGTTCATCCTCGGATGGTCCCTCACCATCATCCCTCCTATTTTGTGTTTGCCGCGTTGCAGAAAGGTCTGCAGTCGAAGAGCGTCGCATGCGTGGTAAGGATGCTTGGGGCGGGAAAAGACGGGGACGGGATGTTGGGGAGGGCTGTGGTGGGGAGAATGAACGGGTTCTTACAAGTTGGTTTTCGCGCGGTCCCATCACATGCAGACGCGTTAGCAGTCATCACACTTGAAAGAAGCCATCGATAGAAGATCAAACATCAGTTCCGTAAGGGGGACTTGAAACCGAGCGAAGTGACCGTAGCGATCTTGATTTTGAGGACGAATGGACATAATGCCAGCCGGCTTTGTAGACACAAAATCTTGAACCACGCGGTAATGTGGGGTGAAGAAAAATCCCGTGTTCAATCATGATAATCGTGCAAAGATAAGCTATACAATCTCTATAGACCATCTTGATGACCTTCAGGATTGAGAAAAGACGAGTGGCAGTGAGAGCCCTCAGGCTCAACTTTGAAGTGGGGGAGACAGGCGTGTAAGCCCCACTCTCCTGATTTGCTGCTGAGGATCTCTGACGCGGGCACAGCGGGTGACAGACATCGCAGCCCTCGGCTTCAGCGACGAACAGGGCCCCCTCCCCGGGTTTCCTCACACCGGATCCTAGAAAGAGTTGAAGAAGGCGCACTTGGTCGGTAATTACCCATCATACCATTGCCCACCTCCAAAGTGCTTGGTCTAGGGCAAAGCGGGGCCTTGATAGACTGGCTGAGACATAGATGCTTCTTGAGCTCCGGCTTGAGGTAGATCATCCTGCAATGTGCTTCCTTACTGACGTTGGCGCTTTCGACACCCGGCTTCGCCATGAAAGAAGACCTTACAATGGCGACAGCGGGGTGTGTCGGAAGAGGCGAGACTCACTTCTAGCTTGTCATCTCGAAGTTCATGACGTTAATTTTATCCTTCGTGTTTGGCCTTGTTGCCGGACCAACATCAAATTTGAGGTTGATCAAGGTGGCTTTTAATCTATCAGGCTGAGCAGGGTGACTGGGAATGTCTGGACCAATGACTTCGCGACTGTGAGCTTCTAAATACAACATCACATCTAAGGGGATGTGCACAGCTATGACCCAGAAGTTCGATTCTTCTCTTACTCACCTCTGCTCCCTCAGCTGTGCTCGTAAGCCCAGGTTTGAATTCGGGAACATAGTGCATGCTATTTAGTGTAATCTCCCCTTGTCCTCTGAAGGTGGCAGGGTTGAAGTTGCCCTCCTGCAAACACTCCTCTTTGTAAGCTCTCACGACATCGTCCTTCACCTTTTTTGGGAGAAATCTCGCACCCTCTCAGAAAATAACTGTGACCGTGTGTTCCTTTAGCCACGCCACATTTGCTCTGTCAATGTTGCTGTTCACCTTGAACGTAACCTCCCTGCCTTCTACCATCATTTCGCCTGGGTTGATAAGGATGCCTTCGTCGTAGCATAGTTTTGCAAGTTTCCAGGTGCGATCCTCGTCTTCACCAAGAGGTTGGTCAGGCGCTGGAGGTGGGTATCTAGCCTGCGGCTCCATCTCCACCTCTGCCATCCGGTACTTCTTCAGCGTAGGAAGCAGACACAATAAACGTCCAACGAGTCACCAACAGTCGGTTGTTAACCCTTAAAGAAATTAAGCTGCTAGCATCTAGAGTATCAGGTCTCGATTCAGGAGACAGTATGAGAAAACTAACCACACCTAGGGGAAAGGACTACTAGGTCTAGAAGAGTCCTTGTGGAGTCGTCTTGTGCAAGGGCCGAGAACCGGATGTTTGCAACTCCTCCATAGCAAGGTGAAGGAAACGGAGGAAGCCCTGCCCACATCCGACACGATGTCGTCCACCGATGCGGCCAATATTGGGGTAGTGTTGAAGTGCTGTCATGTGATCGTAGCAAGCAAGGCTTTGTGTGTTGGTCTTCTGCTAGCAGAAGAGGGAGAAAAGTTCTGCCTTGTGTATGACTCGGTATTTCTGTGAACGGGGAGCAGAGCAGGGAGAAATTGTATGTGCTGGGGCAGCTGTTCTTTGGCTGTAGCTGGTGCAGTGTTGGGAACTCTTGTGTGTATGCATACTGGCCGCAGGAAGCTTTGTTGGTCTCTAACCTGATTAACTTGATGACTGCCTACTGGGTTGGCTCATGCAGATTTCACTCTGAGAAGTCTAAATTCAGCTGTGTTGACTTTGTGTTTGTTTTGCTCTCCTGCTTTGAGACCGTGCCACTTAAATTGCTAGTACTTCTGTGGAGGATGTGACATCCTTTCTACAGCAACTACAGGAATTCTACGGAATGATTTGAGCTACATCCTTTGTTGATGAGTGAGCTGGTACTTAGTGAATGTGTGTCTGCAACTTTGCTGTTTTCTGCATCTATGTTGCCCCTCTATCAACATTCAACTGTTTTCCATATCTTGCAAATAGAAAACAAGATGCTCTTAACATAGGTGGAGCCATGATAAGCTCTTGCAACTTCCAGGAGTCTTCCCGGTGTTGTGCAAGCCAAACTTTTGGAGGTTAGTGCATCCTGCCTCTGGCTGCCATCAGGATTCCTATACCTTTTGGGCCGGTTATTGGGCTTGAGCCTTTAGGGCTATTAAGGAAGTTTCTTTCCAAGGGTAGGTGCAGGCGACATCCTGTTCCTTTGCAATAAATGAAGAAAACATGAAGATGTGTTCATGCCTGTGCACGTGCGCGAGTATGCGAGTTCCAGAACATGGAAGATAGCATGAAACTAAACTTCACTGTCTTTGTCTTTTTTTGTTTCCTGTTTTTTTGGGACCATTTCTCCATTTATGTGTGTCATCCTTGCACGGGGGGATGCTGATCTTCTGTGGATCATTTCAATTTAAATGGATGTCTTCTTCTTATTGGCATGTACTGTGGCATTTTGTGGGCTTAATTCTGCAGAGTGATTCATTCAGGGATAAGCAAATTCCAGCGCATGGATTTGTTAGATACTCCACTATTTGGCAAGGTCTGTACATTCGTCTGTTTCGTTTTCTCCGTTTTCTTCATCAGCATTTCAAACCTTACTGGCTGACAACGTACTGCTAGTGTTCTGCCATGATGCAACACTAATGAGTTCATTATATTTAGAGAAGAAAGGATCTTGGCGTTTGAGGTTGGACAGAAAGTTAAAAGAGTGGAATTAGCTCAGATGCTTTGTAATCTGGTGAAACGGAGCAGATGCTTCTTTGAGATTCACACGAGCGGGAGCAATTCTTGGAGTGACGGATGGAAAAAGGTCAAGTGTATGTTTGGGGGATCTGGCATGTTGTGTAATGGGAAATAAACTAAGCTGAAACTCTGTAAGAGCTTGCTGGAGTCTGGTAAATCCCTGAAAATTGTTTTTTGAAGTGTTTCTACAACACGAAGAAAATAACAGAGCTCATTGTAAATACCTTTGATCAATCCTGAATCTGCTAAGAAGCGCTCTTTAGTGTGCCTAGAGATCCTTTTCTCTTATTCGGTTGAGGTGGTGAAGGATCTCAAAAGTCTACTCGCTCCTTACTGAAGACACCACAAGTATGATGAGCGAGTGAGCTTAACTGGAGGTCCGAGGTTGTGTGATAGCAAGATTGATAGTCTTGGTTTCCCATCCACGACAGGTGCTATTTGACGTGAAAGGTCAGGATAGTGTGGGTTCGTAATCCCTCTATCGCTGATTTTTGTTGTAATCACTCTGCGTTTACATAATGGGAGATTCAGGCCTGTACTTGTTCAGGTTATAGCTTGCCCCGTGAGAAGGGGCATGTGAAATGCCGCCTTTGGGACGTTGTTGGAGTCTCTACATCAATGTGCAATGGGAAGAGCATATGGCAGGTGAAGCACGGCCTTGGGGCTAACGCCCTAGCCGATGCACTCTGCTCTTCTTTAGGAATGGAAGGTCAGGACGATCAAGCCTGCTTCCTTTTTAAAACACAACTCACATACCCCACCTATTCTGGGGCGCGCCAGTCTGGTTGCTCGTCACGGGCAAGCCGAAGTTCGAAAAGAATAAGACAAAGGGGATGACAGAAAGTGCAGGAAGTTGAATCTTGTCTCAACCACAGTACGCATCATGGAGATGCAGTTTCTGGTCAATGATGTGTTAAACTTGGAGGACCACTGCGCTGACCTAGTGTTCTCTTCTATGCATTGAAACCCGGGACAAATCCTGATTTTGTGCCCCCATTAGTTTTTCACCAAAAAATAGAAAAAATAAAATAAAATAAAGAGGCTACAATCCAAATTCTATCGGACAAGTATTGAATGTGAAACCAATCCACGTCCAATGTACACTGCCCACAAAGTGAATCAATGGCTTGATCGTTGGTTTTTCTTTTACCCTCCTTCACCCTCCTGCAAGGAAAATGAGCAATAGCAAAATACAGTAACCAAGCCGCATCATGCATATGAAACCTGGGTTAAGCCGACGTCCGGCCCAGACGGACTGGGCCAGACGGACCGGGCCAGACGAACGGGGGGGGGTCCGTCCGGCAAAACCAGACGAGCCAAAAAACATCCCAGGAATTTTTTTTATTTTTTTTTGAAGATGGGGTTGGAGTGCGCTCGCTGAGAGGAGCCCGAATCCGCAGAGAAACTTGTGAAAGTCATGTGTGGTGTGGGGGAGGG